GGGAGCCCTGACTGTGAGTCCTTTTGCTTAAGCTTGTGCTGACTCCTCAGACAGTCCCAGTTCCTCAAACAGCCCCGGGGACTCCAGGGAAAGAAGAAACGAGGACTGGTTGTGGCACATAGGGCCCCACTTGATACTGATTTTCTTTTCTGGTCTTTGTCCCCTCACAGGGAGCACCATTGATGGTGTGGCCAGGACCGGAAATGGAGCTGACTCTTCTGTCCTGAGTGGTAGGTTCCTAAGACCCGGGTAGAGTGAAGGCCGCCTGGATGGTGACTGAAAGGGACACTTGTAATTGGGGATCGTAAAGTGCGCCCACCTCTGCCTCCAGTGCACCAGCATCAGGCACTTTTTGGGCAGAGGTGTGAGGCTCAGGCCCTGCCCTCCAGGCTGTGCCTGCTGTGTTGTGTCCTCTGCTCCCCACTGGGGTTGCTGTAACCCTCCTGCTAGAAGTCCTTTGCCCTCTGCCACCCCGCCCCTCTGTCCTCTGCTGTCCTTCATCTAGAGCTTTGTGTTAGTTTGCTTTGTAGTGCTGGCAGTAGCCGCCCTGCTCCTCTTTTATGCTTAAGGGACTCTGCCGCAGGAGCCTGGGTGAGTGGTCCCTACTAGTGATTGTACCCTTGGGGTTAGGCCTCAGGCCAGGGCCTCAGCAGGGCCAGCAAGGCCAGCCCTTCCACGGATAGGGGGAGGAGCTATAGAACCCTGGGGGGGATAACCCAGCCCCCAGTGGCCAGTTCCACAGTCTGGGCCCTGGTCTTCCCATCTCTGACAACACATGTGTGGAGTTTGGTAGCTGCTGGTGCTCCGAAGACTTATGCGAAAGCTGGGGGTCAGGCTAGAGCACTTCCCAGTTGTTCCAGGCCCTTGTTGGCTGTTTGACCCTGCATGGCAACCCTTATTTCCAGCCTGGATCTCTGAAGGAAATTCCCCAGAAGTTTCTGGGTTTGTCAGAAAGTGAACAAAGCTGTTTTCTTGATCATCTCAGAAACATGGCTGAGATTAGTTTCCTTGGTAACCACTGCAGTGACAGGAGTCCCACCTACCTCCAGTGTTCATCAGTGTGTCCTGTGCTCCAGAGGACATCAGGACCAAGGGATATGTCCACTCCTTTAATTATGACACTGCCTATGCTCCCTCCATGGGCCCTTTACAGTCAGCCCTGCTAAGCCAATTGTCTTGTGTCCTCCTAAACCACACTTTTCATGTTGCAGTTCCCAGGAAGCAGGATTCTGAGGACCTCTCTGGTGAGATCTTCAACTATGAAGGTATAACTTCAAAACTGTGTCCTTATGTGCTTGGCATTGAGACTCACTAGGAGGAACTTGGTAGGCAGGGCCTCCAAACCTTCCCAGGTGTTGTACTTTAGAGCAGGGATTGGGACGACAGGCTGTCAGGCTTCAAAGTGCCGGCAGAGTGAAGACAGCCATTGTGTGCTTCTAGAACTAACCACACCTTAACTCTCACAGCCCTGTGCTGTGCATAGGAGCTATTGCCTGTATGTAACTCCCTTGTGTAAAGTGAAGGTCCCCTGACAGAGAGCACTCGCGCGCGCACACACACAAAACAGAAAAGGAAATGTAAGGCTGGTGTCCCCAGGCCGTACTGGAAGTCTGACCCACAGGCCTTGGACGGATGGCCCTCTCAACACTCTCAACACCCGCTGAGCTGTCCGTGTAAGCACTCTAGGCTTGGCTCTGCTGCTCTTGGAGAGTGCGGACTGCACTCCACCTGCTGAGCTGTCTGTAGGCTTTCTAGGCTTGACCCTGCTGATTTGTCCTCCTGAGGGTTCCTTACTCTTGCTTGTAGAATACTGTGTCCCAAAGGCTGTCACTGGGCCTTGCCGTGCAGCCTTCCCTCGCTGGTACTATAACGTTGAGAAGAATTCCTGTGACAGCTTCATCTACGGCGGATGGGGCAACAAGAACAGCTACCTCTCCCAGGAGGCGTGCATGCAGCGCTGCTCTGGCAAGTCAACTGACCCCATCCCTTGACTATGGGGCCCTAGAGAGGCCCTTTCCCTGTCCTGCTCCCTAAAATGAGGGCTTTGGAAATACCTATCAGACCCTTGAATGACAATGTTTCAGAGCCTCCAGGGCTCTTGGGGAGAGCCTTAGTGTTCAGGAGGCTGAGGGGACCCATTTTGGTCCCAGCCCAAAGGATGGAGAGCATGGTGTACTGACCTCAGATTTTGTGTTCTCTTTAGGCAAACAGACATATCCTGTCCTAGCCCCTGGAGTAAAAGGTAAGTGGCCTCCTAGCCTTCTCTCCCTGCCTCCCACCTCCCTGCCACTGGCCTTCCTGGACTAACTGGGCTCTGTCCAGCTATGTTTTCTGCCTTGTTTAAAATATTGTTCTTCAGTGGAATGTCCTTGTGGCAGAGTGCTGTGTCTATATGAAAGGGGCTAGCAGCTTGGAACTTGTGAACATTTGTCCTACAGTAAACACTATACAAGTGGAGGCTGAGCCTGAATCCCTAGGTAGCCTGTTTGGGCCACAAGGAGTGTCTGGCAGACAGGCCTATCCTATGGAGTTCACACACAAGCCTGAGGGTAATCCAGGGGGGTGGAGGGGACTTAACCTCCTTGGGGAATGAAGAGGTGGTCAGGGGTGTCAAGACCAGTCTGGCCTGGTGAGGAGACCCTGTATTCTCCCACTTCTGCTTCTGGGCCTGTGTGTAGGCAGTGAGTGCTGTCCTATCAACCTGGCATACTGGTTTGGCCTCTCTCTTGATCTTTTTCCTTGTTGAGGAGCCAAGACCTGGCTTACAAGTCTGCCTTGTTCTAGAAATAGAATCTGGTTCTCAAGGCTGGGGCTGGAGAGGTGCCCAGGTCTTGAGGGCTAGTTGTGGGTGGAGTTGGGCAGGGGATTGCTCCAAAAGGGTAGATAGATCCAATAGCCAGTGCAGGAGGGGAGCCAGGAGATGGAGCTCCACCTGGAAAGGAAGCTTCTCAGCTGAGCAGTGGGGCAGCTGCAGTTACTCACCTGCAATCAGGAGCCCTGGGTCCCTCCCAGTACTGCTGGGTACACTCTCACCAGCCAGGCTTATTGCTCAGGCAGCCACCTGCCGAGGTTCATCTGTTGCCATTCAGGAGTTCAAGGCCAGACTCAGCTACATAGGATGTTTAAAGTCACCCTGGGCCACTTGAGACCTTGTCTCAGGTAACCGAAATAGGGCTGGTGTGATGGCTCAGCAGGCAAGGGCACTTGCTTCCAATGTGACAGCCCAGGGTCCATCCCCAGCACTCACATGGCGGCTTACAACCATTTGTGACGTGAGTTAAGGGAATCCATGCTGGCAAACATACAGAAACAAAGTTATCAAGGACACGAGCCACCATGTGTATGTGGCATGACAGGGGACCATGCTGGCAGGCCGTCTCTCCAGACTCTCAGGTTGAGGAGGCATCTGGTCCTCTTCTGGGGTCACCCTGCTGGCCTTCTGTCCATGTCCCTCCTCGTCTTACCTGTCCCCTCTTATTCCCAGCGGTGGTCCTGGTGGGGCTTTTGTTTATGGTCCTGATCCTCCTCCTGGGGGCCTCTGTGGTCTGCCTGGTCCGTGTGGCACGCAGGAAGCAGGAGCGTGCTCTCCGCACCGTCTGGAGCACTGGGGATGACAAGGAACAGCTGGTGAAGAACACCTGTGTCTTGTAAAGGCCCCGATGCTGGGAGAACAGGAGGGAGGGGAAAACATGTTTCTTAAAAACAGAGCCACTGCTTGTATCTATGAGATCATTAGGGAAGTTTGGTCTTTGTTTTCCCGTGGCAGGGAGGGCAGAGAGGCTCTTCCTTGTCCTGTTTGGCTACTTACCTCCCTGACTTCCGTCCTCTCAGTAGCTTCCCCCCCCCAACCCGCCTTTCCACCCATTGCCTCCTTCAGCCCACTAGCATTCCTCTTCTGGTAGCTTGCTTTGTTTGTGTGATTTATGTGGGTTTTTTTTTTTTTTAAGTAAAGGTTTTTTAATTGGGATTCTGAAAATATATGTGTTTAATGAAATGGGCCTTTTAAAATAAAATTTACTAAGTAGTTTGTTTGTTTGTGACTTATTAATAACATCTGTTAACGTCTTTCTCGGGACTTGATGTACGTACCATCTGCAGACAGGCCTTTTGCTCCTTTTTCATTTTGGAGACAGAGTATGTTTTTTCTTTTTTATGCTGTACAGGGTGTTGTGTATCTCAGGCTGACCTTAAACGCTTTGTAGCTGAGATGATGTGACCTTGATGCTGCTCCTAGTGCTGACATCACAGGTGTGTGTCCCTGCACCTGGAGCTGCACCCCAAAGTCCCTCACAAGTTTTTTTTTTAAAGATTTATGTTTGACAGGTGGTGGTGGCACACACCTTTGATCCCAGCACTCAGGAGGCAGAGGCAAAAGATTTATTGTCATATTATGAGTATAACTGTTTTGCCTGCATGTATGTCTGTGTACCATGTACATGCCTGGTACTTGAGGGGTACCATGCTAGAAGAAGGTGTTGGATCCCCTGGAACTAGAGTTACAGATGGTTGTGAGCCACCACGTGGGTGCTGGGAACCAAACCCAGGTCCTCTGCAAGAGAAGCCAGTGCTCTTACTGAGCCATCTCTCCAGCTCCTTTTTTACACTTTGAAATTCCTAGCCACATTCCTGAATAATCACTGACTCACTGAGGAATAGAGTTTACCCCTTGGTACAGCTGTGGACGGTGTCTTAGTTTCTCTTGTTGTGAAGGGTTACCATGACCACGGCAACTCGTAGAAAGGAAAACATTGAATTGAGGTGATGACTTACAGTCCAGAGGTTGAGTCCGTTGTTGTCCTGGCAGTGTGCGGGCCGATGTTCTGCTGGAGGAGGAGCCCAGAGAGCTCTGCATTTTAAATCAGGCAGTAGGAAGAGAGGGACCTCAAAGGCCATCCCTAGTGACACTTCAGCAAGACCACGCCTACTCCAAAAAGACCATACCTCCTAATAGTGCCCCTCCCTATGAGCCTAAGGGGGCCGTTTTCATTCTCATGACCTTGGAGGGTGTGGGCCAGCTAGACTAAGATGCAGCCTGTCACAGCACTGGCTGATGGGGCCCCCAAGTGAGACCTGCCAGGCCCTGCCACCTTGCCTCCCTGTGGGCTTCCTTCCCCCCTGGACTCTCATGGAAACTCCATGTCCTCCACATAAGTCCTGAGGCATGATCCCTGGTAGACTGTTATCATCTCTTGGGTCACCCTTCTGAAAGTAAGCACTGTCCTTGCTTCTCCAGTATATGGCCACTCTAAGAGAGTCTGGCCTGGAGGTAGTGGTGCACCCCTGTAATCCTGGCACTCAGAAGCAGAGGGAGGAGGATAATGGGTTCGAGGCCAACCTGGGCTATACAGTGAGACCCTGTCTCAAAGATAGGAACATTTGGGCAGGAGAGATGGCTCTTGGACCTGCTTTCAATCTCCAACTACCACACGGTGGCTCTCAACCATCTGTTATTCCAGTTCCAGGAGATCCAAAAACATCACACACGCATGCACACACACCTCAGAGAGCCACATCAAGTTTATGAATGGCTCTGGAGCCAAATGTCCTATGTGTCTTCATGCCACTTCTATGTTTTTGGGGTTGGTGACCACAGAATGTCTGTTTATGGTAATAGAGGTTGTCATTTTGGCTCTTATAGTGATTGACAGTAACACTAAAGGTCACAGGTCAGTCAGGTCCACTGGATGATAGAGCCTGTAAAATGTGCTAATCCGCCAGACGGTGGTGGCGCACACCTTTAATCCCAGCACTCGGGAGGCAGAGGCAGGCGGATCTCTGTGAGTTCGAGACCAGCCTGGTCTACAAGAGCTAGTTCCAGCACAGCCTCCAAAGCCACAGACAAACCCTGTCTCGAAAAAACAAAAAAAAGAAAACAATGTGCTAATCCTTCTCAGGCCTAAGGCTCAGGATGGAGAGGTAGTGATGCCTCACTTTGCTGCCTGGGGTGAAACAAGGTGAAGGAGTGGCACCATGCCCTCTATTGGTCGGATTAATCAAAGTGTTAAGTGGAGCTGGGTGGTGGTGGTTGCACGCCTTTGGTCCCAGCACTCAGGAGGCAGAGGCAGGCGGATCCCTGAGTTCAAGGCCAGTCTAGACGGTCTACAAGAGCGAGCTTCAGGACAGGCTCCAAAGCTACAGAGAAACCAACCCTGTCTCGAAAAAACCAAAGTGTTGAGTGGAGCCACACACTCAGAAGCCCACATGGTTTAGGGCTGGAAACTGGACTGCCGGCAGAGTCCCTCCACATGGGCCTCTGCCCCTGCAGGTCTTGTGCTCACATCAAACCCCACAAGAGGCTCTGTGGTGAGCAACTGGCACTCGAAGAAGCTGTTTAAGCTCTTCTCTGGAATCCATGGCATACCCTGCTACCAGGAACCCAAGACCTTAGGGCTTCAAGGTGTAAGTGGTCAGGTCATTTCTTCCAAGTTGCATTTGCAGCTCCCATGTTTAGGGAGGAGGGGAGAGCTCTGATACAAAGCTGTCTGAAGGTTCTCTAAGCTCTGTAGCACCTCTTTGTTGATGCTAGGCAATTGGCAGACCATTGAGCTATACCCCTCAGCTATTTGTCCCTCTGTTGTCACAGCTCACTGAATGGTCATATACGCATTCTTCTGGGGTCCTGTTAAAGTCCTGGACTGACAACTGTGTGGAGCCCAGCTTGGCCCCTTACCGCATCCTCAGATTTGCTGATCAGTGTCCGAAGGACCACCGAAGCTTTGGTGGTGGTCACAGGCCAGGACAGTGCTGGTCTGATGGGAAGGAAGACGGTTGTGGTTGACTGGGGATAATGTTGTTTATAGGAGCAGGGCCTCTGTTCATGGAAACTCCGGGAAAGACTAAACCAAGCCAACTTTTCCAGTCAAACTTGTGACCTCAAGCATGTAGGAGGAACCCAGGCATATAGCAGTCCAGGAAATGCATATAACTGTCCCAACAGCTGGGTCCCTCGGCATCTTGGCTTCCCTGCCCACTGTAAGTGTGGACCAGAAACATTTTTATAAATTGAAGTAGCAAATCCCCAGTGAGCCCCCGAGGATACCTTTCTCCAGGTAAGAAGGGAGAGGAACCCATTGCTGCAGACCATTTGAAAAGCAAGCACCCTTTTCTGGAAGGGCAGAATGGCACTGTTTAACACCCTTGGCACCAAGGTTTTGGGGGCAGAAGTAGCAAAGCAAAGAAACAGACCTACACCCCCACCTGTGTGGTAGAGGAGTGCAGACCAGTGAGGCCGAGGGACCTGAGAGGAGACGCCCAACTCTCACTCACTCACTCTGGCTTCCCACCAACTTGGGCTTACACGTGAGAAAAGTGACACCAGCTCTTTAAGCGCTGGTAGCTGGTATCCTGGATCTCAGCGAATTCGAGACTACCTGAAGGGCAAGCACAGTGCCTGTGGGGTGAGGAGAAGGGGAAGGTGCAAATTAGAGCCAAAGCCATGTCCTCCCCTGCTTTCCAACTCTGAAACCAACATAGCAAGACAGTCGCTGTAGCTCCAGGGTACAGAAGCCTCTGCTGCTCCATGGTCTACTAAGCTTTGTGCACGGGCTTTGAGAAGCCCCACTCTAGCAGGGCCTGGTGGACAGGCTTATAAACCAAGCTACTGTGGAGGTCAGGGCAGAGGAGTAGGCTCAACACCAACACTGGCCCTCAGTGTGGAGGGGAGGGTTAAAGGTGCAGCTGACATTAATGAACACTGCGTGTTTAGGGCACGTAGATTCTGCAAAGCTATTTACATTAAGAGAGCTGGGTTTTTTGCTTTATTTTCTACTTTATTCTGTGGGACTGAGACAGAACCCAGGACCTTGTATTTGCTAGGCAAGTACTCTATGACTGAGCCACACTCCCATCCCCCTCATTGGATTCTGGGAAAAGTGCTCTACCACTGAGGTAAGGTCCATCCCTCTCTGTGTGTGTGTGCCCACTTGCACACTGGAGCACACAGAGGTCAGAAGACTACCTCAGATTCTGGTCCTTATTTTCTACCTCGAGACAAGATCTCTTTTATGTCTCTCAAGATTTTGTTATTTAGTTATGAGTATGTGTGTATCTGTGTGAGTGTAAGTGCCAGCAAAGGCCAGAAGACATCTAATTCCTGGAAACTGGAGTTATAAACGGTTGTGAAGCACCATGTGGGTGCTGGGAATTGAACCTGGGTCCTATGGAAGGGCAGTCGGTGTTTGTGCTCTTAACTGCTGAGCCTTCTCTCCAGTCCAGTCAAGGTCTTGTTTGCTCTGGGTGTGCAGGCCCAGTGGGCCCGTGGGCTTCTGGGTATATCTCTGCCTCCCGTCTCACCCCCAGGAACATCAAGGTTACAGACGTGTTCTACCTTGTCCAGTACTCGAACTCCCCAGGCTCGGGGATCTGAACTCAGTTGTATGACAGTCACTTTACCTACTGAGCTATGTCCCCAGTCCCAACTTACTTTGTTTCTTTGAGACGATGTCTTACTACGTATCCCTGGCTGGCCTCAAACTCACAGAGTGCTGGAATCAAAGGTGTGCACCACCACACAGGACTGGCTTATTGTCTTAAAAATAGACTTGTGTTTCTGTGTGAGTGTATGCCAGGTGTGTACCTGTGCCTGTGGAGGTCAGAAGCAGCAGTTGGGAGCCACCTGGTGTGGGTTCAGGCAAACTTGACCCAGGTCTTCTGCATAGCACATGGTCCTAACCACCGAACCATCTCTTTGTTTGTTTGTTTTAGAGACAAGATTTCTCCGAGTAGCCCTGGCTGTCTTGGAACTCACTCTGTAGACCAGACTGGTCTTGAGTTCAGAGATCCACCTGCCTCTGCCTCCCAAGTGCTGGGGTTAAAGGTGTGTGCCACCACTGCCCAGCTTATTTTTTTCATTTTTAGGTGTGTGTGTGTATGAGCGGTTTGATCATCCCTATCTATACATGTGCCCCATAATTTCACAGGGAGTGTCACTATTAGGTGTGGCTTTCTTGGAGTGAATATGGTTTTGTGGAGGAAGTGTGTCACTGTGGGGGGTGGGCTTGGAGGTTTCCTAGGCTCAGGACACCACCCAGTGTCTCAGCTGACTTCCTGCTGCCTGTAAGATATAGGACTCTCAGCTACCTCTCGAATACCATGTCTGCCTGTATGCTACCAGGCTCCCCACTGTGATGAAAATGGACTAAACCTCTGAACTGTTAGCCAGCCAGCCCGATGAAATGTTTGTAAGAGTTGCCGTGGTCATGGTGTCTTCACAGCAACAGAAACCCTAAGATATGCACCATGTACATGCCCGGTGCCCATGGAGGTAAGAAAAAGGTACCAGAGCCCTTAGACGCAGTTTCAAAACACCATGTGAGTGCTAGGAATTGAACCTGGGTTTTCTCAAGATCAAGTGCTCTCAACCATTAAGGCATCTCTCCAGCCCCTCAACGTGGTGTTTTGAGACCGGGGTCTTACTGTGTAGCTTGGAGTGGCCTCTCACTAGTAACCCTCCACCTCTCCTTCCTTTCCAGGGCTTGAACGACAGGCCACTTGTCCCCCTTTACACCGGGGAAAAGAGGTCCAGAGTGCCATGCCTAGTGAGTGTAATAGAGGTGTGTGTGTCGGCACTCCCCAGTCAGAGGTAAACCTTGACAAGTCACCAGATGACAGTACACACCACTCTGAGTCACTTGTCTGGGTGAGGAGCAAAGCAGACAGGGTCTCCACCCTCAGGCCTGGACAGACTTTCTCTCCTATCCTGCATGAGCTTCGGGCCCAACCATCACTGCTCACACCCCCACCCCACCCCCCTCACGATACAGACCAAAGGTGCTCACCCTTCCAACCGCTCCCCTCCTATCTTCCCATTCTGATGTCCTCAGACAGCATTCCTGCCTGCCTGAAGGCCTTTGAACCTCTGAACCCTTCCTATCTTCATTTATTATCTCTCTCTCTCTCTCTCTCTCTCTCTCTCTCTCTCTCTCCTCGCTCTCTCTTTTGCTCTCTAAGACAGGGTTTCTCTGTGTAGCCCTGGCTGTCCTGGAACTTGCTCTGTAGACCACTCTGGCCTCAAATTCAGAGAAACCCTGTCTCAAAAAAACCAAGGGGGAAAAAAAGTGTTTCAGATAATGGTAAGCACCAAGTGTGTGCTAGAACGACGGGCCTGCAGTAGCCAGGGCTGGCATTTCTGCAAACAGACATTTAAGCAGGCGTCTGGGGTGGCGCATAGCCACCTGTTCCCACCCAGAGGCTCTCTTCTGCAGTTATGAAGCAGCAGGGGCTTTGTTTGTAACATTTTTCTATTATAATTATTTTATTGTTTTGTGTGTACCCGAGGAAGGCCAAAAACAGCTTGCAGGAGCCAGCTCTCTCCTCCACGTGGGCCTTGGGGACTGAACTCAGCTCACTGGCCTTGGCAGGTGTCTTTACCCAATGGGCCACCTCACCAGCCTCATTTTTTTTAGGATAGAGCCCAGGCTGGCCCGCATTCAGGTATCTGTCTGCCTCTGCCTCTCAAGTGGTAGGATTAAATAAAGGTGTGTGCTACCAGGCCGGCACTCCATTATGCTATGTAGCCCAGGCTACAGCAGAACTTTAAATCCTCCTGAAAAGCAGAATTACAATCCTGCACCCAGGTTGGAACTAATGTTTGTGTCCGTAAAAGCTGTGGTACTGTTGAAGGTAATAGGACCTTGAGAGTGAAATTCTTGAGTGGGATTAGAGCCTACACTCAGATATCTGAAAAACCAAGGTGGGGCTGAAGAGATGGCTCAGTGGTTAAGAGCACTGGGTGAAGCCGGGCGTTGGTGACGCATCCTTTTAATCCCAGCACTCGGGAGGCAGAGGCAGGTGGATCTCTCTGAGTTCCCGGCCAGCCTGGTCTCCAGAGAGTGCCAGGATAGGCTCCAAAGCTACACAGAGAAACCCTGTCTCGAAAAACCAAAAACCAACAACAAAAAAAGACTGGGCAGTAGTGGTGCGCCTTTAATCCCAGCAGGGAGGCAGAGGCAGGTGGATCTCTGTGAGATCGAGGCCAGCCTGGTTTATAAATCGAGTTCTAGGACAGCCAAGGCTGTTACAAAGAGAAACCCTGTCTCAATGAATAAATAAAATAAGAAAGAAAGAAAGAAAGAAAGAAAGAAGCCAAGAGAACTTTTCAGGAAGCATTCTAGGGCTCTCTCGGCCTATGCCTGAATATCAAGTTCCCAGCCTGGACACCTGCGAGGTTTAAATTACTGCTTAAGCCACTTATCTGGTGTGCTTGTTTTTACAGCCCAAATTGAGGCACCTGTCTTTATCAAAACAAGGCAACACATTTCGCAAGCACTTCCTCTGCCAGGCCCCGAGTCTAACCATCTGCCTTGTCTTCCCCCATCACCCCTGGGTGCAACTTTGCTGGGGCC